ATGCAACAAACAAATGAAAGCTTCACGCCCTATCATGTAGAGATCAAGGGCGTCGGCGACCGAGGATCGAGGCGCGTTACGTCACTTTGAGTACGAACGCACCTCATCCCTCGTGCTTGGTTTACACCCCAAACTAAGCAAAATGTAATGCATGTATGCAATATGACTTGAGTATGCAAAATGACTCAAGCTAGAAAAGCATGTCAAATGTAAACACCAACCAAACATGCAAATATGCAATGTGCTAAGCATGCAATGCTACAATGCTACCTAGATAGACAACTAGGCAAAATGATAATCATGTAATAATGCATTAACTACAAGGATGCAACAATCATGCAATGTGATGATCATACTACAAGACACAAATGCATGGACTTACACTAGGATGGAGGAACCTCAGCCACACCCCAAAACAGTGGCCAAAGGTACTAAAATGATGGTGCCAACATGCAAGACAAGCGTGCAAACCAATGGGCCTAAGACTAAGGCATAAAAGCCAACTTTCAAGCGCACTTAAAAGAAGACAAACATGGACATTAGACCAACAAAATAAGAGGTATGGCATGTTAGAATGAGCCCCAAAACCCACTTAGATGGCATCCCAAATGTCTAAACATGGTGGCAAACACAATGACCAACTCTTGAGGCACAAAACTACAACACTTCAAAGCATTGAAAGAGAGCCAAATGCAAGTGTAAGACCACATTACATAGACTGAAATATGATCTCAAATGATGCCAAATTATGGGAATAAGCCATGTAAAGCATGCTAGTGACCCACATACCCAAGGCTCTCAAGCCAAAATGCATGGTGGCTATATCAAACATGGAAAATATGACCAAATCAGTAATAAACATTCCTTAAGCATGGCAAAACATAACCTAAAGCTTCACAAAGCTGAGCCAAAACATGCAAGCATGCTGGTCCAAAGGCAATATGCATTTCTAAGCAAAATAGAGGAATACAAGGCAAGTGTATTATGCATGCAAGGGGTCAACAAACGAACATGAGACAGAGGTAAAACATGCTAAATAAACACCAAATAACCTCTGAAATAAAGCCAAACAAAGCTAGGCATGCATGCTACCTTTATAAGCCTTAAACACAAGCTAAAGAGACACAAAGGGAGAGGGGTGTCCCTCCCCTATTCAAGACCTCAAAACCCCTTCACCACCACTGAAAATCCCTTGGATTTCAGTGGTGAGAAGGCCAATACACAAAAGTTCCAAGGCTTAACAAAGAAGGCTCAAAATGAGGCCAAACAAGGCCTAAGAGGAGGTGGACGACCCCCAACACCAAAATGACCTTAATGAAACATATTAAGCATGCAAATATGAAACTTTTTTCAGTTTATAGCTAAGCTTAAATCAGCTTGAAAGTATGGCTAAGATATGGATCAAAATAAAGCCTTAAAAGGGGGATGAAGCATACAAGGGTGTACATGGCCTCTAACAGAAAAATGTCCTTAAACAAACTTCAAGAGGAGCTCAAAATAAGACCTTTTTCAGTTTATGACAATGCTCTAAAATGCTTGCAAGTATGGCTAAGCTATGAAGCAAGATAAGCCTTAAAAAGGGAGATGAGTGCGTTACCCTTGTAGCCAAGAACTCCAGCAGCCTTTGGTCCCAAAAACCAGTCCCTTAGCCTCTGAAAACAAGCTCCAAGATGCTTGGATGGATGATGGAGAGGTTAGGTTATGAGGTGTGGGGTAATGGAGCAAAGAACCTTACACTTTGAAGCTAAAATGGAGGAGATATAGAGGGACAAAGAGGGATATATGTGTATATGCCCTAACCAAGTTCTGAACCTGGTATATGGAGAGGGGAGCCTTCCTTTATAGAGCCAAGAGAATAAAGCTTCTCTTAGAAGCTTCAAACCAAGAGCAAAGATCCTTCATACACGTGTATGGAGGATCCAGTCTGTGCCATCCAGCTGGCACAACTGGTATCCATTCAATCTGTAGAATACACCAGAAGGTCGTCGGCTAGAAAAATTGGTCGGCTGGCTACTTTAACTGGTCGATCGGCCATCTATTTGGTCGGTCGGCCATTTGTTCTGGTCGGTCAGGGTCGGCCAGCAGGAAAAATCTGCTCTGCAGGTCCAACTTCAAATGGGCATAACGCCTTCATGTGAACTCCTTTTCAGGTCATTCTTGTGTCCAAATTGAAGCCCTGGAAGTAAGCTTTCCAATGGAACCAGCCTTGAATCAAAATTACAACTGAAAAAAAAGTTATGCTTGTTTTGGTAAAGGTTGCTCAGCTTCGGTCTAACCGGGATGATGCCCAACTTCAACCAATCATATCTCCTTCATCCAGACTCGGCTTTAGGAGATTCTTGAGTGAAAAACGAAGCCCCAGAAGTCTTATTTCCAACGGTAGTGACCTCATAGCTTAAATCCAAGTGCATAGATAGATAAGCCTGATTTAGCGAGGACCACTCGACTCTCTCTTAGCGATTCATACCCAACTTCTTCCCCAGCTAGGTTTCTTCTCTCTTCTCTTCTTTTCTTCAACTCTAAACCCCTAAACAAGGTGTTTTGAAATATTTTTCAAAGATTTCATCTCTCTTTCATTCATTTCCACTTTGTCCTTGCTCGGTTTATCGAAAAGCGCATCATTTGACAAAATGTGAGCCTCGGAACATTGTAGAAACTTTATTTCAAAAATGTTTTGAAAGAGAGAGTTCTAAGGTCTAAAAACCATCCAAAATAACTTTGGTCCAAAATGGGGTGCAAAGTTGAGATTTGTCTCTCTCCTTGCCGAAGAAACTGAACCTTTGCTCTGCACACCTTTCTCCACCAAGTAAACCATCAGTAACGCCCAAGTCTTGAGGGCGGTCAAAAATAGGGTGTCTACAAATTTATAAATAATAGAGAAAAAATAATCAATCTGTGTCTTTGGCATAAATTGATGCCCTAAAAAATAATCAATCAATCTTTGTCTTTATCTTTTCCTCTTCTCCTACTTCACCTCCATTTTTCTTGCCAAACTCTTCCACTATTGTGGCAGTCCAATCTTTCACTACTCTGTTCTGCTGATATGTTTCCCCTGCTGTAGTGTTGCTCTGCTATGTTGATCCAAAAAAGAAAAGAAAAAAAAATGTATCGATTGCTACGACTGCTAGTCTGCTAGAAAGAGGGTCTGAGGGTTGAACCTGTTAGTCCTGCTAATAGTCTGCTAGTCTGCTAATAGTCTTGTTGATCTGTTAGTCTGCTAATAGTCTTGGAATTAGTCTTCCATTGAGTATAGTTGGTTTCTTTGGTTGGGCTGCTTTTGTTGGTCTATTTTTGAGCTATTGGCTGTTTTGTTTGATGGTTTTGTTGCTTCGCATTGTTAACAACATTTGTTTTTTGGCAAAACAACCAAAGAAAACTAGTTTTTTAGCTTCAGTTTTGAAAATATGTTGACAACATTTGTTGTTTGGCAATGCTTTTTAGGTTTGCAGCTTATTTTCTTTTAGAATTCGTAATGCTCAAATTAAGTCCAAATAATTTATTTTCTAAATGAACCATTTGTAGTTACAATAATGATTTTAATGCTATCCCTCAAACAACTTGTGTTTGGATTTTAAATTTATTAAGCTATTTGTAAATGAAATTAAAATATATATTTTTTCTCTTAAGTTTCTCTTCCTTACAAATTCAAAATTCAAAATTCAAAAGTGTTTGTCGCATGGGTTTGAGTCATATAAACAATCTCTACAAAAATATAAATACAGTTGTGTATATTTTTCGGAGAATCTCATCTCTCGTGCACTAAATAATTATAAATACATAAATTTAATATTCAAATACCATATGAATCTAGATCCAAGACATTATAACCTAACACATACAATTTGAAATTGTGAAAGCTTCGTATGCCCTATAATGGTGGGGGTAGTTAAGGCAGCTTGCATGGCTCCATACACACACACAGACACACAGACACACAGAGATAGACCATGTCCACACTGTCAATATTTTAGAAAAGAAGAGAAAGCAAAAGCAATGAAAGGGAAAAAGCCATGAGGAGGGTGAGGTTGGACACTTGAACTAAAGAGCTCCAAACATTAAAGGAGTATAGTCTAATTATATGAAATTGATGAGATATGTTGTATGTTTTCCAAATTAATAGAGTAATTTATTTATTTAAAAAACAAATGTTGTTCATGTATGTAGAATCAGCTCTTTTACTCTGCTGATTTTTAACTCTTGGCTGCTTTTGTTGGTCTGTTTGTGCTCAGCAGTGGCTATTGGCTGTTTTGTTTGTTGGTTTTGTTGCTTCGCTTTGTCTATTGGTTTCTCACCAACTAAATCTTGGAGCTTATGCTAGCTCTAAGCTCCTCTTTATTGAAGGATCTTATCATACTTTTTATGTATTCATCAATAAAGTTTTCTTTTGCTGATCACGTAGCTAAAAAATATTTGTTACGGTATCCATGTTAGCATTGTTCTTTTGATTGCTTTGTTTCATAAGTGTAACTCTAACACTTTCTGTAATATTATGTAGATTAATTATTTAAACATGGTTGTCTTTAACCTTTAAGATGGCCCAAATAGACATGGGTTGGATGACAATAAAAAATAGATTAATTAGTAGGGAGTATCAAGAAGGGGTGAATTCATTTATTGAATTTGCGATGAGAAATGTAGGCTTGGAGGATAAGCTTCGGTGTCCATGTATTGATTGCTTGAACGACAAAAAACATACGATCCACGTTGTTAGGATTCATTTGATTCGAAGAGAGATATCTCTTTCTTACAAGACTTGGGTGCACCATGGGGAACTTGTTCCCGTGGTTGAACCTCTCATATTGAATGAAGGTCACCATGACATATATAGTGAAATTGTAGGGGAAGATCAGGATGACGGGGATGATTTGCCTACTATGTTGGAAGAGGTTTGTAGGGGTTTTGCAATGGATGATGAAGGGAATGAATTACTTGCTACTTTTGAGAGTGTGAATGGGTGAAACTTTGATAAGTTATTTGAAGATGCTCAACGTAAACTATACATGGAATGCACAAGGTTCACTGTGTTGTCATTTATTATTAAGATGCTTCACATTAAGGTGTACAACAAGTGGAGCAATAACTCATTTGATATGGTTATGAAAGTTTTCAAAGACACTCTACCTGAGTGTGATGAGACTGTTCCGTGGACCATATATGCTGCGAAAAGATTCTTACATGACTTGGGTCTGGGTTACGTTCTCATTCATGCTTGTAGGTATGATTGTGCACTATTTTGGAAGGAGCATGCAAATCTTCATAATTGCCCCAAGTGTGAGCCTAGATACAAGTTGGACAACGGAAAGGGTAAGAAGATCCCTCACAAGATATTGAGGTACTTTCCATTGACACCAACATTGAAGAGATTGTATATGTCCAAGAAAATCACTACAGATATGAGATGGCACAAGGAGAAACGTGTGGATGATGGAATCTTGAGGCATCTAGCTGATGCTGAGGCATGGAAAGACTTTGATTGGCAACATCCTATGTTCGCCATGAATCCACGAAATGTAAGGCTCGGGCTCGCCACCGATGGTTTCAACCCATTTGGAAATATGAGCACATCATACAGTATGTGGCCCGTTATCCTAATGCCTTACAACCTCCCACCATGGAAGTGTATGAAAAAGCCTTTCTCCATTATGTCATTGCTTATTCCTGGACGATCGGCTTCTGGAGAGATATCAATGTTTACTTACGGCCATTGATTAAGGAGTTGAAGGAGTTATGGGGCGATGGGTGCGAACTTATGATGCGAAAAACGAAGAGTCATTTAGAATGCATGCTGCACTGATGTGGACCATCAACGACTTCCCTGCATATGGTAACATGTTCGGGTGGACCACTAAAGGTTATTTGGCTTGTCCTACTTGTAATGAGGACGCATCATCACAAAGGTTAACAAGTAAGATAGGGTACATGGGTGCTCGTCGTTTCTTGCCCGAGAACCATAGATGGCGAAGGAGCAAGTTGTTTAATGGACAAAGTGAGGTTAGGTACAGACCGTTGGAGTTATCAGGGGAGCAAATATTAGACCAAATTGAGACTGGGACATACAAGCCGTTTTGAAAATATCTAAATAACAGGAAAAGACAAAGGGACGAAAATCCAGTGTTGAATTGGGCAAAGAGAAGCATTATGTTTGAATTGCCTTACTGGAAGATGCTTAAGCTTCGACACAACCTTGATGTCATGCACATAGAGAAGAACATTTGTGACAATTTGATGGCGACATTATTAAATGTGGATGGGAAGAACAAGGACATAGAAAAAGCACGGATTGATTTAGAAAATTTAAAAATTCGGAAGGAGTTACGACTACAGAGTCGTGGTGATGGGTCATTTGTGAAGCCTCCAGCTGTGTACACATTATCCACGAAAGAAAGACAAGGCTTTGGTGCTTTTTTGAAATCAATCAAGTATCCCGATGGTTATGCAGCAAACATCTCCAATTGCGTGAATACTGACAGTGGCAAAATCTCAGGCCTCAAAAATCATGATTGTTATGTGCTTGTACACCAACTACTTCCGGTTGGGATGCGCGGGTCTCTTAACAATGAAATTGGTACGACTTTGTTTGAGTTAGGAAATTTCTTCCAACAACTGTGTTCAAAGACGTTGAAGGTGACAGATTTACAGAAGCTAAAGGATCAAATCATACTTGTACTTTACAAGCTTGAGAAGACTTTTCCTCCAGCTTTCTTTGATGTCATGGTTCACTTGGTTGTTCATTTGCTGCGCGAGGCAATACTTGGAGGGCCAGTGCAATATCGATGGATGTACCCAATTGAACGGTAATTATTTATGCTCTTACCATATCACTGTCATCTACCTTTAATGGTAGTCTATATATTGTCAATGTAGTATGGACATAGTAAAAAAAATTTCTCTTGTAGGCTACTTGGAATGATAAAAGGATTTGTTGCCAATAAAGTTCATCCTGAAGGATCAATTGCGGAGGCGTACATTTCCAAAGAGTGTACAACTTTCTGCTCGATGTATCTTGATGGATTTGAAACAGTGTTTAATCGAGCAGAAAGGAATGATGATGGTGGTGATCACAGCTCGGGGTTAGCCATCTTCTCTCAAAAAGTTTGTCCATTTGGTCTAATCAGTAGGGCACCAGATGTGCCTCTCCACGAACGAGAGATGGCTCTGTGGTTTGTTTTATACAATAGCTTTGACGTGGAACAATATCTAAAGTATGTTTTCAGGCCTCAAAAAAGTTAAAAAAACCATTTATGTTTTGTCTAATTATTCGTAATCATATGTCTTACTTATCTAATATTCTTATTCTTATTAATTAGGGAACACAAGAACATTTTACAAAATGGAAGTACATGTGACACCACAGAGAGGCAACGGGATGAATTTCCTAAGTGGTTCAAAGAACGTGTAAGACATACCTATCCATCCAACATTTGAGCACATTATGCTATAACCAACTTGAACAAAGTAACATAACACGTATTGCTTATGTAGATAAATCAGTTGCGGAATCAAGGGTCGCCCGAAGCAACGGATGAATTGTGGTCGTTGGCCAACGGTCCTAGTGCAATAGTCAACACATATTCGAGATGCATTTCTAATGGTGTTCGATTTCATACCATCGACCGTGATAACTGTCGTAAAACTCAAAATAGTGGGTTGGTTGTAGAAGGGGAGCATGAGGGTCATTCAATGCATTTCTACGGTTACTTGAGGAAAGTGTAGGAAATAACATATTTGTTTAGACATCGAGTTATTTTGTACCAATGTGAATGATATAACACCGGTAGCAAGAAGACGTGTATCACGGATACACATGTCACAAGTGTCGATATAAAAAGTCGATGGTATGAACATGACCCCTTTGTATTTCCAGCTCAAGTAGAACAAGTATTCTACGTTAATGATACCAAATTAGGTGGGAATTGGAAAGTTGTAGAACGATTTCACCATCGAGAAATATGGAATGTGCCAGAGATGGATGGTTTACCTGATGATGCTCTAAATAGTGTGTTCCAACAAAATGAAACCACCGAGGTTGTACCAATTGTGGACGGAAATGGTATGCAAGTTAAAGGCGGTGGCGATCAAGGGGTTTTGTGTAGAGATGATATTGAAGGTGAAATTATTCCAAATACAATGGTTTCACAATCTCATAGTCAAACACAAGGCGAGGGTGTTGCTGATGCTTTCATTTGTGATACCGACGAAGATGACTTCCTTGAGGACGATGATGAGCAAGAAGAAGATGAATTTGACATTGTTTAACTATATAAATCATCACATAGAACCTTGATGTATTTAACTATATAAATCATGACATAGAACCTTGATGTATTTAATTTGCAAAATGTGAAATTCTGCATCATGCACTGACGATTTTAACCTATGAACTGCTGCTCTGGTTGTTGTTCTGTTCTGGTGCATTTGATTTAGAGTGTGTTCTGTGCTGTGTGTCTACTGTAGTGCTTGTTCTGTCTGTTTGCTGTAGTGTACATACCTGAAGGGCTAGCTGTCTGCTGTAGTGCCTGTTCTGTTTTTGCTGATGTGTTGATCTGTGGTGCCTGATTTGTTTTGCTTTGCTCATGGCTGTGTATCTGTTTTGTTGCTGTGTTGGCTTAATCTGTGGTGCCTGATCTGTGGTGCCTGTTATGTTTTGTTGCTGTCTGCTGTAGTGTACATACCTGATTTGTTGTAGTGCCTGTTGTTCTATTTTGTTTTGCTTTGCTCGTGGCTGTGTTGGCTGTGCTTGGAGTCGATGTAGGGCTGCTGTAGTTGAATGCAGTGTGTTTGGTATGATTGCTGGGCTATAGTATTTCATGGCAGTTCTATTCTGGTTTGGATTCTCTGCCTGAAAGGCTGGTTGTCTTCTCTATCTGTTCTGTTTTGGTGATCTGTTTTGGTGCTTGGAAGGGCTGGTGTAGTGCCTCATCTGGTTTTTATTCATGGCAGTGCTATAGTGCCTAATCTTTCTGGATTTTCTGGCTTTATTTGCTTTGTTTGCTTTGTGTGTTGGTCTCTCACCAACTAGGAGGTTGGAGCTTGTTATAGCTCGAAGTTCCTCTTTATTGATGTTCTTATTCTTATATTTCATCAATAAAGTTTTCTTTTTGCCGATAAAAAAAAAAGAAAAAAATATATGTCATTAATATCACTTGCAAATTTACGTAGATGGATTAATATATATGTATGAAATTAAGGGTATGTTTGGTTTGTGTTTGAGAGATGTGTTTTAGAGATAAAAAGTACGAAAACATGTTTGGTTTGGTTTTTTTTAAAAGATGTTTTGGAAAATTATTTTGAGATAGAGTTTTGGAAAAAGTGATTGATTTGATGTGTGTGAGAGAGAGATTTGTTTGGAAAACTTGTTTGGTTTACAAGTTTTGGGAAATTTTTTTGGGAAAATTTGTTTGGTTTGGTTATTTTTGAAAACTTATTTGTAGAGAAAATTTCCCAAATTTTTTTCAGAAAATCAAACCAAACGAGCCCTAAGATTTTCATGGATGTTCATTTCTTAGTTATTATATTTGTTAATTATTACTGTTGACGTATATGTATGTGTTCACATTAAAAATTTGTGCTTATCCATGTGCTCATTGTGCACTTTGCATTTGATTATGTTAAAATGTAACAGAATGGCTCCTGCAAAGAAGATGAGCTATTTACCACCACCGAAGAGGGCATTACTTGAACCCTACTCACTCTCGATCGATACATGTACACCTTCTCCTGAAGGTCTTGTAGCAGATGGATTTGGGCCTATTGGACCATCTTTGTCTGAAATTAATGTGTTGTCAGGATCTGAGACTATTGCACCATCTCCGTCTCAAACTAATGCACCACATGGATTTGAGATTTGCGAAGCATCTCCGTCTGAAACGCATGCACCATCTCCTCAAAGTCAAACAAGTGGCGCAGGTAATTAAATATGTTTCATCTACCTTCAATTTATCTATTGTTTATATTTTTACATTAGTAAATACACTAATAACATTATCAAATATGTAGGTGTATCTTCATCAAGGCGAGTACGGGGACCAACAGTTGGAAAAGCAACAGCAAAAAGAGTTGCCAACAATAATGGAAACAAGCTTCACATTCCAATCACTGAGACAGGAGCTAATGAGATTGGCATTCAGATTAGGAGGATGTGCCCCATTCAAGGCGTTAAAAGTTGGACTGTTACTGATCCTGCGACAAAATGGGCTGTTGTACAAGCTGTCCAGGTATGATTTAATTTCTTTCATAGTATGTGTGGATTATGGAAAAAGTGCAGTTTTCATGTGCATGTATGATGGGAATTTGTTTTCTTTGTTGGTTATGAAAGCTTATCATACATAGTAAAACTGTGCATATCTCGTTTCACAACAGTTTTACCTATTAGATTGCCATTCTGACCCTCTGATTCATAATGGTAATCATGGTACCACCTCAGGAATCGTAGGGCAGAGAAACAACGGAATTATAGGGTGTAAAGGAATTATGAGCACTGTATTGAGTTTGCACTAATGCCATTTGTCATACAATACTAAGAATGATTGTTCTTAGAGCCCTCTGGCATTTTTGTCACCATGTATTAGCATGTTGATTCAACCCTTGTGGATTTTACACATCATTATATCTAATCTTATGTGCAATCTTTACCCTTTTAATGTAAAGGGAACTATAGCCTAATGGTGGACCGTAGAGTATCTAACTTCCAACAGTATTTCAGAAAAAAAGAAGAAGATGAAAATGAAGAAGTGATGTAGATTGGTTCTGCCTAGCCCATTGTCTTGTTTTATTATGCTATTGAGCTGTTGGCCTATTGCTAGTTGACAGGTTCATATGAATATGTTTATCAGTGTAGCTGGGCCTAACATATTAGCAAAATAATGAATGTGTAAATAAGTTATTAGTGGTTGTTAGGGTATTTTGATGGTTATATTAGCAAACATGCTTATGAGAGATAGAGATTTATAATTTGCTTGGAAGCATGGTTTTAGGCATATTTTAGGCATTAATCTGTTCTTACCACCTTTTGAATTTGTGCTACCCTTAGTATAGAATGCATGAGATTTAGACTAGGATTGCTCTGTGGTTGAATCCATACCTAAAGGATTTTAATTTCTCAATCCATGATTTCATCTGTAATATAAGCCAAATCAGATTATGTTGTGGAGGAGCACTGATGCAATGAGTTGTGATGAGCCCACTTAGCTAGATGCAGAGCAGCTCTGTTATGCTACAGTTTTTAGGTGTTGTTCTGTTTGCTAGTGAAAGGTCTGGTGATCTGTTGTTGAACTATCCGGTGATCTAGTGTTTTGTGGCTGGTTAGTCTTGTTTGAACTATCTTTTAGTCTATTTGGCTTGCTGCTCTGTTCGTCTGCTATCAATCCTTGTGTTGGTCTTGGTGCTAGTCTGGTAGGTTATGGTGACTATTAAGAGGGTGTGATTGCTGAACTAATCTGTTGGTAGTCTGCTATTAGTGGCTAAGAAGCTGAACTAATCTGTTGATTGAACTATTAGTACATTAGTTTTTCAAAATATGAACTCTGCAATCTTTTTCATGTTATCTGTGCTTTTTAATCAATGATTGAGTATCGAATCAGCACAATAGTTCTAAAATTATAAATTATACTCTATCCAACAAAAGCCTTAAAATGAATCACAACAATACTTTTAGTATTTAATATTTTAATGAATATTATTAACTTTTCTCGTGCAAATTTCCTATTTGTGCCAAGAAAGCATTAGTGAATCAACCAATAATCTTTCCACCATACGAATGGCTAGAGTTTATCCATCTATTTTCTCAAAAACCAAACAAACCAGTAGTTTTAATATTATAAGATATTAACACTTTTCATTTTGATGATTGTTTAATAGTACTTACAAAAATTAAAGTTAAAATAAAGTCGTCCAACCAATCAGAGACTACTAGTCCCTTCCAGATTGACCCCATATACCTAATTAGGAGGTAAACATGTCAATTTCAATGAACATAAAAATACAAAATCAATACAAAAGTAAATGATTAATATATAGTGAAAAGAAAACTAGATTTTAATATTGATCATGTGGCTTGGAAGAGACATGATTGTTAGGATTTCTTATAAAAAAACCCAAAAGGAAGAAAATTAGACATTCATGTTTGAGAAAATTATGATCAAGAATGTCTTCCAGCCTGCTATAACATGAACAACATATCAAGAGAAAACAATATACCGAGCATATATTATGTGTACCTATGTGCATGTATACATCTAAGATTAAATGCACAGTGTATGCAAAGCTACTTAACTAATGCATTTTCTTCTTTCTTCCTCTTCTTCTTCTTTTTCTTTTTATTTATTTATTTATTTATTATAATCTTTTCCACTTAAGCTACTTAAGAACAAGAATATGTCTTTAGTTATTGAGTAGGAAAATTAACATGGAAAGTATTTGTTACATTAGCAGAAGTTTGTAGCTTTCTAAAAGGTGTCAATTCTTTCTACAATGTTTTATACTGCATCTCCTCTAGATTTAGAGATGGAAGTACAATAATGACATGCAGTGCCAACATTTATACATTTAGATGTAGGCAGATAGACTGACCCAACATAAATGAACAAAAAGTACACACACACACACACACACACACACACACATTTTTCGTGACAAAGCAATTTCCCTTCTAACGAACCTAGAGGACCGGGA